GAATTGTGCTATTCTTCTTGGTCATTGTTTTCTTCAGCTGACATTTTATAAATTCTTAGACTCTAGAGTAGAATATGGTACACCAGGATTGAATAGTTTTACAACCAGCTTCCATAGCTGAGTTTATATGTTTTGTGTACTCGAATGAGTATTGCAAAAATATAAGGGAGTCTTCAAGAAGCTCTTGTAAATCACATATTACTGGGTCATCAAGGAAGTCATGACACAGTTTTGAATAGAAAAACAGAAAAAATACTTCAAGACTTTCCTGACAACCTAGTATTAAGAAAGTATGCACGTTGGAGTCTCAATACTAATTTCTGACAAAATGGGCTTTAAAACAAAAACTGTTCGAAGAGACAAAGAAGGACACTATATTGTAGTAAAAGGGTTAATCGATAAAGAAGATATAATGCTTATTAATATCTATGCACCTAACACAGGAGCACCCAAATATGTGAAGAAAAGACTGCTAGATCTAAAAGGGGAGATAGACTGCAACACACTAATTGTTGGATACCTCAACACTGCACTATTCCCTCTGAACAGATCATCTAGACAAAAAATAGGTAAAGAGATAAAGGATCTAAATGATACTATAAATGAAATGGACTTAACAGACATCTATAGAACTTTCCATCTAAAAACCTTGAGATACACTTTTTTTTCTCACTGCCACATGGAACCTTCTCGAAGATTGAACACATCACAGAGCACAAAGCAAGCCTCTACAGATTCAAAGGCATAGAAACTATACCCAGCATCTTCTCCAACCATGATGGAATTAAACTTGAGTTTAATTTCAAGAGAAATCCTCAACAATACTCAAATACCTGGAAAATAAATAATCTACTCCTGAATGACTCCACAACTACTGAAGAAACAAAGACTGAAATCAAAAGGTTCATGGAAGCCAATGACAGAACACAAGTTTCCATAATCTTTGGAACACTGCTAAAGCAGTCATAAGAGGGAAGTTCACAGCAATTAGTGCACAAAAGGGGAACATGGAAAGAAGGCAAATGGATCACCTAACATCATGCCTCACAGAATTGAAAAAGCAACAGCAGAAAGATCCAAAAACACTCCAGGAGAAAGGAAATAATAAAGATACAAGCAGAAAAAACATTTGGGGGAAGGGCAGGAAGCCAAAGCATTAATGGAACAAAGAGGTGTGGTATTATCTGTTGAAGATATTTTGCAGTTTTATCAACAGTACTTGGGAGAAATGTTCACCTGTTGAAATATCCATTTTGTAAGACAAATAATAATGTGATCGAATATATGGAAGAAAATGAAATGGAAAACAAATTTTAAAAAATAAAGGGAAAAAAATTCCAGGATGTATTCAAGTAAAGTGAATGTTTTTCCATTTAATGAAATGATGAGTTTGTTATAAAGGTAATTATTATAAAGTAGATGATGATACTTTGTTTCTAAAGTTAGTAATAATTATTGAAAGTGGTTTATTAGGTTCTTTTTAAAATAAATGTAAATAAGCTACAACATGCATGTTTTCTTTGAGCGCGAAGACTGCTGCAAAGTTATTGCAGGGTATTCACATAAGGAGAAAGTAGATATAATATTTTTAATTTGTAATAAAAATACATGTAATATGTTCTACAAAAAATATTATTGAATGTAACTATCTTAAATAGTTATCATTTCTAGGATGCTTCTTCAGCTTTCTCTGCCCTCAAGAAAATCAAATAAATTAGACTAGACCGAGCATTAAAAAAAAAAAAAGAAATAGAAAATAAATGAACTATACAGAAAAAAATGAAAGTAAAATCTGGTTCTTTGAAAAGATAAACAAAATAAATTCACCACTAGCAAGACTTATTAAGAAGAGAGAAATGAACCAGGTGAATCAGATCTGCAATGAAGCAGGCAAAATAACAACAGACATAGTAGAAATACAAAACATTATTAGAGGATACTATGAACATCTGTATGCCAAGAAACAAGATAATCTAGATGAGATGGACAAATTCCTGGGCACGTGTAATCTACCTAGATTGAGCCAGGATGATATAGAAAGTCTGAATAGGTCCATAACAAGCCAGGAGATCGAATCAGTTATAAATAACCTCCCTACAAAGAAAAGCCCTGGCCCTAATAGATTCACCTCTGAATTCTAAATAGCTTTCAAAGAAGAGTTAACCCCCATTCTGCTCAAGTTATTTCTAAAGATCCAAAAGGGTGAATCTCTCCCTAATTCATTCTATGAAGCTTCTATCACCCTTATCCTTAAAACAGATAAGGACAGGACAAGGAAGGAAAACTATAGACCAATATCCCTGATGAATATAGACACAAAGATTCTCAACAAGATACTAGAAAATCGTATACAACAACTTATAAAAAAGACTATACATCATGGGACCAGCAGTTAGTGTAATGGCTATGTTGC